GATCAATGACTTGAAAATATCCATGAGAACGAGCACATGGTACTGGGCAAAGTATATAGTGAGAAGCTATAATTTACATCATGTAACAGAAATTGGAGGTCACTTGACCGTGAATATGTTTTTAAAAAAATTGCAAATATATTATTATTTATTTCATAAATAAAGATGACGTGGAAATTTTTTTTTATTTTACTAATTTAAATAATTTTCTTTGATAATTTTTTCTTCTTATTTCCTTCTATTTTTTCTTCTTTTTTCCCTTATTATTTTCTTTTTGTGTTCATTTTATATTTCTTCTTCTTCTTTTTCTGCTTTTACTTTTTTATTTCTATTTTATTAAATTACTTTAATTTTTTCTTTAGGTTACTTAATTTTTATCCACATTTGTAATGTGTAATTTTTTATTAAATTTATTTATTGTCCGAAATTATTTTTTACTTTGTAACCGCATATGACGAAATACGAAAAATTAAAATCGAAAAATTCGGAGTCATGAAGAATCGAACCCCTGTCCTTGGTGTTGTAAATCGAATAGGGAAGCCACTGAACCATTTCACATGTTAGTTTTTCATTCTCGTTTTATAATTAAATGAATCGTTATAAAGTAATCAATGACAAAACACTTTCGTAGAAATTGCGCGAGACTCAAGTTGAAATATATAATATATATTTATTTTCAACTACTCCATTCAGAATTGAATCCAATTTTAAAAAGTGTGTTAATGAATAAGTGTATTTTCAAATCTCAATTTTTAAATATCATCTCGTAAAAACAAACTTTTTTAATTAAAAAGGAGAAGATACAATTTTAATGTTTTTCTCATTTTTAAAACCACCTTATACCTTTTCACAAATGGCAAACTAATAAAACGTTTATAAAAATTGACACTATTTTGCGAAATAACGGAAAATTGTTCGAATGACTTTTGTAAAAGTAAAATAAAAAAAAAAGTATTAGTCTTTGATATAGAAAAAAACTCTAAAATGAAAATTGTCTTCTGCTCTGATTAGAAGTAGAGACACGGATTTAAAAAACGAAACAAAATACAAGAATAGCAACGTTCTCAAGTTGATGCGAATACTCTTTTGCGGTGTATCTCAAATAGCGTACCTACTGACGTTCACCGCAAACGAAAGTCCCTCTTCCTTTCAAAGTAATTTTATGTTTTGCTTCCATTTTGCCATTCCGTTCTCGTACCTTATTGCCTTCGCAACATTTCTGAGTTACAAAGTCCGAATACGTGTTCGCGTGCGTTTGTAATTGCCGAAAGAGAACGTAACGAGGCGTGACCCTTGTTTCATTTTTTTTTCATTTTTATTTTTCTGCATCTTCTGGTGTATATAATACCTTCCTGGTTTATTCACTGATCGAGCCTTGGGCATTTCGTGGAAATCGGGTCTTCTTCCTTCGTATTCCCGCATTTTATTTCATTTTCTGGGTCACAAGATAAACGCCTTCTTGAAAATCTTCGCTACCTTGACATTCTGTTCTCCAATTATTATATGTCTATTTTATATTTCTATTTTTATTTTATTTCTATTTTTATTGTACATTTAAATTTTTTTTATTGTTATTTCCATTTCTATTTTTAATTATTTTGTAGTTTCATTCCTTATTTTCTTTCAATTTATTATTTTGTATATTACTTACGTTTTTGATGTAATTTAATTTATTTTATATTTCACCGTCCGACACGATATTTGACTCACAAAAAAAATCAAATATTTTCGGAAACTAGAACAAAAAAAAATACCCGTGTCTGACCGTTTTGCTATATCAAGTCGTTTGTAGTTTTTAGGGGTGAAAACAATCCTTAAATATGAAAAGTGACAAGATATCTTATAAAAATTATTATTATTATTGAAAATTTGACAGCAGATTCAACATTAGCAACCCCAAAAATCCCTAGATACCAACTATTATAAAAAATTAATAACTTTTGAAAATTTTGACCTCCATATTGGATCTGCCATTTTGAATTTTGAAAATCTGACATCAGATTTATAATCAGCGATCCCAGAAACACCCCGATACCAAGTTTTATAAAATATTAATAATTTTAAAAGATATCATATGTCACTTTTCATTTAGGGGTTGTTTAATAATGTTTAATAAAAAGGAACAGTTAACAATTTTCATTGTTTAATAACAATCACCCTTAAAAACCACAAACGACTTGATCTTGCAAAACAGAATTGTTTGATTAACAAAAAAAAAATTGTTATCGAACAGTTGAAATAACAAAACTAAATTGTTAAATCGTCAATACAATTTGTTGTATTAACAAAGCTTTGATCCGTCTATACAATTTGTTCAGTTTCTTCGCCTTCTAAAATAATCGATAGCAGGATTTCCGTATGTCATATCATCATTTTCATTTGCATTAAAATCTGTGGAACATGCAGCTTCTGAATCAAATTCTTTGACCTAAAACTAAAAAATTATTTTGAGTTGAAATATGTTAAATAATATTTAATATACATTTTGTATTTTTTCAGGTGAGGTTATGTTCAATAGTAACCGAGTATAACTTTACCGATAAACGATGAAATTGTGTCTTTATCACATTCACTACTCTTGCAATAGATTTCTCACTTTAACCGGATTCATTATTTAACAGCACTTTGTCATTAAAAAAAACTAATATTAAAAGCAAAAGTGGCACATGTGCCAGAAGCAAACGATGCGACGATTTGCTCGCCAGTTTGCGACAATTCAAGATGATCACGTGACATGGAACAATAAACTTGTCAGCTGAACAAATTCGGATTGTTCCGTCAGCATTCGACAGAGAGTTTGTTTCTGCAACTGTACAGAATTGCAAACTGAATAAAACAGACAACAAAAAATTCGTATTGTTGTTAAAACAACATACATTTGTATTGACAACAATCCGAATTGTAATATTAACATTTTGAATTGTAATATCAACAAATCTACTGACAACAATCCAAAAATTGTTTGCACAACAATCCCATTTTTATCAGTGCACATTTTTTCATTTTTGAATTACTACTTTTTATTTTGATGACCATTATTCAATTACTTTTGCTTGTTCATTTTATTTTGATGTTCCATTTAATTTTCTTTATTTTTATATACCTTCATTTCATTTTATTTACGTTCTCTTTATGTTCATTCAATGTTTTTATGTTCGTTTAAATTTTATATCCAATTTTATTTTTAAATTCAATTTTTCCGCTTTGAAAAAATTTTTTAAAAAAAATCATTTTTTTTATTATTACTGTAAATTATTAGAAAAAATTATTTGTTTTATTTATTTACCTATAAATAAAAAATGCGATTTTTTTATTTCTTTGAAGTTGAATTTATTAATTAAAATAATATAAAAATGGTAATTGAAAATTAAAATTGTATTTGACATTTTTTTAAATGCTTAAAATTTTTCGTTATTGACAATGGACCACCTTCTTCGGAATTTTTTAATTTTCAATGTATATGATAATATTTCAAGTGAAAAAAAAAATTGATAAAACGAAGGATAAAGAAAGTAATCGACATGGACATAAATCGAGGAAGGATTGAATTTATTAAAATAAAAAGAAGCCCACGGGTGGTCTACATCGAACCTGCAAAAGCGAATCTCCAATCCGCCTGGAGGTCAAGGAGCCCAGGTACTTGGCCCGATTTAAACTTGATGGACAGGCAACTCGGCTTCTCGACCTCAGGGGGATCTCCGCTAAGAACGTTATAATGCATACACACACATGCGGATGCACTAAAAGTGCACTTTCCCTTCGAGCATCAATTTCCATTTTTCAACTATTCTCAAATATATCCCGTTTCTTTCTCATCTTTCTTAAAAAAAAAAAAAAAAATTGAAAAAAACATTCCAATCAGGTTTTATATATATATATTCTTGAGAAATTTTTGACCAACACGAAAATATATTTTAATGCCAGTTCCTGGAAGTCTTGGAAAGCAAGCTGATTTCTCCTTCCGGACCTCCCTTTCTCCTCATCATTATTATCATTATCATCATCATGAGACAAATAAAATTTCGGTTAACGATGTTCTGCATTATAAATAAAAATTCAATCATTATGTGGGTAAAATTTGACAACTAAAATATATGTACATAAAATATATTCACTTCCTTTTGAAGTGAATTCCAAACCTTGACCTCGATTTATCCGTTGTGGGAACTCGATTGCCAGAGCTCAAATATTGTATATATATATATATCATGAGCTATAGGGGAAAGTGTGAAAGTTTTGACGTTAAAGATAATTTCTGAAAATTCACTTCCCGCATTGATGAGCTTCGATGATGTTAAAAAAAAAAACAAAAAAAAAAAAATATCAACGACCCCTCCCTTTTTAATGATGCTCGTAAAATAAATTGAAAGCCTGTTTCATCCTTTTCAGCCACCGAAAAGAATTGGAACTTCGAAAGTTGTCCCGCGGGGTCAGAATATTTTCGAATGGTCAACTTTCTACTTTTCAAAAGAGTTGCGCCTTAAGATGATTGGGCTCATTTCGAGATGCCTGAAATCTTCTTCAATTTTTCATATCCCTTGAAACTTGAGGCTTGTTTACTTATTTTATTACCTCGCTGTCCGATTAATTAAAAGAAGAAGAATGAAGATTTTGCTTCCTGTTTTTTTTTTCCAAGTATCATTAGTATTATCTTTATTATTAGTACTACTACCACTTTGTTTAATAGTGTTATTATTAGTATCATTTTAAAAAATTATTTCAATGTCAATAACATAATGATGAAACTCAAAAGAAGAGTGATTTTTTTTTTGTAATAAATATCTTTATTTGAACACAATTTCGGAAGAAGAACGGATGAGAATTTTTTTTTTTTTTAGCGAGTACAAAAAGCAGATAATTCTTTTTTTACGAGAAAAAGAATTACTACAATTTTTTTTCACATCAAATAAAAAAATGGACAACAACCAAAAATTGTGATCCAATGAGAATTCGGAGAAAAGCCTTATCGTCGAACCAATATTGAAAACAAAAGTATCGACTAGCCTCTCTATTTTGTTTTTATTCATTGACTTATTGACAAGTCTACTTTACACATGTCCGCATATACATTATCGTTTGTAATATTAATCGAACATGAATCGCGTGCAAAGAATATACATGTGATTAAGTAAATTATTTACATGTTTCATTGCATTCAGCAATCTAAATGCAACATTACTCTCTTTATCTATAAATATAAATTAAATAAATACATTGTCGAGAAAAATTCTCGAGATTTCATATGATGAATGATGTTTTTTTTTTCTTCATCTCCTAATTTTGAATAAATTAAAAATGGAACAAAAAATCAATCACGTGATTTTTGTTTTGTAACTAGAAATAAGTGTAGGGTTTTTTTTTTTTTTGTCTTTAATGGTATCCAGAGAATGATTGTGCTGCACCAGCATCCCAACCGGATGATGCACCTGATTGCCAACCTCCTGATGATACCGATGGACCAGACCATGCGCTGCTTGATGCTGAATTCCATCCGTTATTGTAGCCAGTGATGCCGACACCACCTTTTCCTTGGAAGAAGGATTTCATTTTCAAAAATGCAGAAATTGCAATGGCAATGAGGGAGGCGAAGATTGCCTTCTTGGCGATGAGGGCAATGGCAAAGTAGGCCAAAACAGCGAGGGCACCCATTTTCACTTTAGCAGCCACCAACAAAGGTAAAATGTGCTTCAGGATCTTCTTTTTTCCACGTCCTGCAAAGTCACGAAGTATATTAAATATATTTCATCGTTGATATATTATCGTAATAAAGAAATCTTGAAAATGTAATTAACATAATAAATTTATAGAAGCCTCATACTCTACATACATTAATTAATGTTAATTACATTTTTGGCAAAAATCTCAGTATATATATATATATATATATATATATCATTTGATTTTATTAGTATTACGATTTATATAATAAAAATTATGAAAAAGTTCATTATTACTTCATCTATGCAAGTGTGTTTTTTTACCTTCAACAACTTCGTTGACGGCTTGACGGACTTCGGTGGGAACAGATTCCGAAATAGCACGTGCAGATTCGCCAATCTTTTCAATTGCTGGTGCAAAGTTGATCTGCAATGAGAGAAAATTGATGGTAAGTTTTTTTTTTTTTAAATTAGCATTTATCTTTCTTTTATATTACATTATTTATTTCATCATTTATTTATGTATTTATTGACTTATTTATTAAATTAGTAATTAAATATAAATGTAAATTCCTTGATCCATTTGTGTGCTAAAAAGTTTATTTTTACACAAAAGTAAATTAGGGAATTAAATTACAAGTTAAAAAAAATAAGTTATTGAACAAAACTTAAACTTAACTTATTAAGTACTTAAATAAAAGTAATTAATTGGTAAGATAGGACAATAAATAACATAAATGAAGTAAATTGCAAAATTGATTATTTGGAAGTAAACTGGTGAAGTAAAATCAATTAAGATCAATAATGAAGAAAATGAATAAAATAAAAAGAAATTGATAAAATTATAATAAGAATATAATTGAGGAAACCAATTAACAAAGAAAAAAGCAGGGAAGTTAATGAATAAATTAAAATGAAGATACTAATTAAATTAATCTAACGAGTAAGTTAATGAAGTTAAATTAAAAAAACTATTGTTAATTAAGTAAATTAAATAAATAAATGAATTAGAAAAATCGAAAAAATGTGTTTATGAATGAAATCGAAGAAATAAGTTAATGAAGTAAATAAAAAAGAGATAAGTTAACGAAGTAAATCGGAAAAATAAGAAATCGAACGTCCAAAAATAAATTAAATAAGTGACTGAAGAAAGAAATTAATGAAGTAAGTAAAAAACTAAGAAAATAAGTTAGTAAAGTAAATTGAAGAATTAAAGAAAATGAAGTCAAATCAAAAAAGTGAATCAACGGAATAAGCTACTGAAATAAATCGACGAAATAATTTAATGAAGTAAATAAAAGAAGAAAATTAATAATGTAAATGAAACAACGAAGTTAATAAACTAAATTAATATAATTAATTAAAACAATATATCAAAAAATTAAAATAGATGGAAAAAATAGCTAAAAAAAAGTCAAATATTGAAGTAATTGAAGAAGGAACAAAAGAAGTAAATTACTGAAGTAATTTAAAAAACAAGTTAATTAAGTAACTGAAAAAAGAAGTTACTGAAGTAGATAAAAAAATAAGCTAATTAAGTAACTAAAAGAACTTGCTATAAAAAAAGAAGTTAAAAAAATAAAAACTAAGTTAATTAGAAAACTGAAGAAAGAAGTTATTTAAGTAAATAAATAAACAAATTAATAAAGTAACTTAATGAACTATCTAAGGAAAAAACTAAGTTAACTATTTAATAATAAGCCAAGTTAGTTACTAAATTAGTAAAACTAGCTAAAGAAGAAAACGAATGAAGAAAGCCAGTAAAAAATTTCTTTTCGAAAAAATTAATAATTAAACAATGACAAAAAAATAATTTTAATAAACTAACTAAAGAAACAAACCATTGAAGTAAAAAAAAAAAAAAAAAAATTTGAAAATAAAAAATCTTACTTTGAGGCTGCGTCCGGCAAAGAAGTCGCTGATACCATCCCCAACGTAATTTTCAAGGGCATTTTGTCTCTCGGCAACATTATTGGCTGTATCGATCTCCTGATCATAGAGGACTTCCTTATTTGATCTTGACGATCTGTCGTCCTTGGCTTTGACCAATGTGACACCGCTAACAATCTCGAAACTGTCCTTGTCAAAGAATTCCTTAGCTTTTCGATAAATACTTTTTTGAATGCATGATATACTATCTTGATTTAGGCATTCGTCGATGCTTTGACCGGAGGCCAGCACCACGACGGTTGTGAGACACACGAAAGCAAACAACTTCATTCTGAAGACGAGTAAAAGTCACGCACAGGTGTTTTAAATAATATAATTTTTTTTTTCAGAGGAGCCACTAAAAGGCAATCTCTGATGTAGTGAAATTTGGTATATGGTCCATCGAAAAGGCTCTTTACCTTATATTTGGCGGTTCCCCTACCCCATGAAGTATTGGTGGCCCCCACCGTTAGTTTTTTCGTTATTTGCCTGCGAGCGTGTGCGTGTGTGTGTGTGTGTGTCTTCCGCATGTGGGTATATGACGTCTTTGAGGCGTGATACACACAGGTAAGAAAGTATTCGCCCAATGGCTGAAACCTGATGATAAAAGTGGGAAGAAAAAGTTTGTCTGTGACCTGCGACCCAATAGCCAATCGGTATATGGTTGTGTTAAAAAAAAAAAAGAAAAAAAAAAAGAGGGATACATGTTAAGAATGTGCCTTCGAGTCTAGGAAGTAGGAGTTTTTTTTCTCTCTCTCTCATACCATGAAACTTTGGGTGATATTATAAGGAGGCGGCGATTAATTGACACGGCTTTCATTCATGAATAAGTAAACATTACGGTGCTCAACGAAATTGAGAGCCAAAGACTCATTTCAATATTAAGGGAGTTTAACTGGTTTTTTTTTTTCTTTTTTTTTTTTAATTCTAGAGAAGAAGATATAGGCGAAAGTAGATTTTTAGGTCACACAATTTTATGACTTTTGAATATTTTAGAATATTGTCGATGAAAAAAAAAACTGATGGAATATGAAGAAAATTTTACATAAATTATTTTATATTAAATTTCATGTCATAGGTCGATCAATTTTCTTTTCTGTTCTAAATTGTTTTAGAATAAAATTTGGATTTTTTCTTTGAAAATTCTATTTATTTTTCATATATTAGATTTAAGATTCGACTTTAAATAAATGGAATAAAAAATTAATATGTCTAAAGAAGACAACTTAACGAAGACTATTTGTCCTGTAAAAGGAAATTTTCAAAAATTATCTTAACAAAAATTCTTATTTATATTTATTTGAAGACAAAAAATAATTAATAAATTTAAATAAAAAAAATTTTGAAGAATACATTCAAATAATTAAATAGTGAAAGCTTTTGGTCTTCCTTTTTGAGAACTTTCACACTTTCACTTTCATGGCTTTTTTTCACACCTTTTTTTTAACAAACGTAAAAGATTTTTTTTTTTTTTGGGTGTGTGGGAAAAACGTTTCAGCTGAGAATTTTTCAAATATTTAAGAATCGTCTCCAAATTGATAATGAACTTTCGTTTTTGAATATTCATTTGTGTTAATTTTCGATTACACAGACTTTTTTTTTTTTTTTAAAAGCATACAATAAAGAAAACGGAAGTTATTTTTTAATTAGTTAAGTAAAAATAATAAAAGATTTAGTAGAAATAGACAATTTATTATAATTATTAATTAAGTTTTTGTTGCATCCATAAAAAATATATAAATCTGTGGAAAATTGAGGAACACGATTTTTAAATTACAGTAACTTTTAAATTATTCCTGTTTGAAAATAAAAAATTTTGGAATTATATATATGGTTGTAAAGTTATACTTTTACGTTTACAGAATGGAACTGAATTCTAATGTATGTAAATGAAATTTGAGACCGGGAATGTCCTAAATACCATCTCCAGTAACTGTATAAAACTTCTTCCCAATTTCGGAATAATCATAAATTATTTTGAAAATTTTAGAAAAAAAAATCGTGTCACTTAACAAAGAAAACTGTTATAATTATTATTTTATCGAGAAAAAAAACTAATAAAACATTATAAATAATATTGTTAAAATATATAAATAATTGAAATTTATTGTTTATATTAATTTTATAAATTATTTTTCAATATTTTGGAAATTTATTTGAAAAAAAAGCCTTTAATTTTTAAAGCTTTTTGTTTGAAAAAGCACACATATATTCTAAACGTGTACGACTCTCACTTTCAAAGTTAGGACAATAATTTCCACTGTTCTCACGCCGGAGTACGAGCTTCATCGCATACCAAAACATTATATACAAGTGAAAGTTCTCTGGTTTTCGTCTGCGACGTTTGAATGAAAGTTTATGAGTTCAAACTGAACTACAATGTCTGCGTGCAAATGGCGAAAGATATTATATACTTCGAGGAACATCCGAAAGTGAGAAAAAGAAACACCACAAGATTCGCGTCCATTCATGCGCAATTATCTTTTTCTAAAGAAACTTTTATCTCTCTTTGATGTACCACTTCTATGAAATAATGGCTTCGATATATCGCTTTATAACAAAAAATTATACAAGAATGAACAAATCGTGGCCTTTGAGATTTTTTTGAGTAAAGATAGAGAATTAAATAATGAAGCTAAATAATTAGATGGAAGAAGAGTTTTATAAAGTTAAGAAATATAATTTTAAAAGTTAATGGAAAAAGGGATGATTTAAGTACGGCCATGTATACCCCAAACTTACTCTATTTAAATAAAAATTATATTGTCTGACTAAACTGTTCTTTTCTACTTAAAATTAGAAATAAATGTTGTCATCATGATTTAAATTTATTTGGCTATTTATTTAGTCTCTAAATTTTGCTCTAAATAGCTGAAATTTAACAACTGATTTGATGTCAGTGACTTTTTCACTGATTCAAATTTAGAGAGTGACTATTTTATTGCCAAATTAACTTTTTCTACTTAGAAGAAAATGCCTTTCCATAACAAATTTAAAAAAAAAAATTTCTACTCTAAGAAATAGAAACAATCCCAAAACAATAGAAACAGGAGAATAACGTGAAACAATCTCATCTACTTAAAAATATTTTGTCTAACTAAATTGTACTTTTTCTACTTAGGAAGTAAATTTTTTTATTTACAGAGGATTTATTCTACTGACAAATTAATTTTGTCTAACTGAACTACACTTTTTCTACTTGAGAAATATATATTTAACGACATAAACTGCTTTATCTATTTAAAAAAAATTTTTACCTACTCTCTAAATCTGAATTAGTAAAAATGTTTACTAATTTAAATTAGTGACTAACTTTATGCTTTAGAATTAGTTAAATTTTATTAATCCGGAAGCAATAAGTGAGTCACAAATTCAAATTAGTAAACATTTTTACTAATTTAAATTTAGAGAGTACATTTTATCTGACTAAAAAAATAAATTTTTTCACGAAATAAATATTTATTTGTATTAAATAATTTTTATTATTTGAGTCAATTAAATTGCATTTGTTTCGAATACAGAAATTATTGGTTCAAATAAATTTTATTTAATTTAAATAAATATTTATTTGACAATAGTGAATAGAATATCCAATTTACCGAATCTTAATTTATCCAAATTTTGATTAGTATAAATTGTTATTTCATAGAATTCCTAAAACGCTGAATTTTCATTTATAATGAATAATGAATAATTTAATAAATATTTACTTGAACAAAATAATTTTTATTTGAATTAAATAAACTTTATTTGGACCAATAATTTATGTATTTGAAACAAATATCATCTCAAATAATAATTATATTTAATAAGCAAATAAATATTTATTTGACAATATAGTCAAATAACCAATTATTTGAAATAAATTTTTTTTCAGTGGACCAAATTAAAATTCTTTTTTTAAGAAGAGTAATAAATTGATGAAATAAATGTGTCTGACTAAACTGTATTTTTTCTACTTGAAATAAAGACTTAAAATTATTGCACAGTCAAAACAACTATTTGTAAACTTCTCTGTCAGTTTGTCTGACTAAACTGTATTTTTCAACTTCCAAAAATATCACGTCAATAAAATGTCTGCATTTACTTAATGTTAAATTTTTAATGGAAAATCTAATTTTCTGCCTATGACAATTAAATTTCTTCCATCAAAAAAATTTTACAATCTTCAAAACAAACAAAAAAAAACATTAGCTTATACAGAAAAATCAGGACCAATAATAATTTTTCTTTTTTTAATGCAATGAATAGGAATTAGGTGGTTGTTTTTTCTCTTACGTATAGACATGTCAATGTAATCAATTGATGTATTAGGTGAGACAAAGTGGAACATACACATTTTTATTGAAAAGTAAGTCGTGTCATTTAAAGGCAACATTTAGCAACTCGCTCACCGACATTTTTCACAGCCTCAATACCATATTAGTGACTGAAGAAGTTAAACTTTCTTTTTGCTCTCTAAGTATTTAATTAAAGATGAATTAGGTCTTACAATTTTTACTACACTTACACAATTCATTAGCGCAGCTATATATCTCCTCAATCGAATTCCAGATGCTTCCATTCCATCATTTCTATCAAATTTCCATATAAATTAATATACATTTTCAGATATTTCTAAATTTCATATTGTTTTTATAAATTTTACAAACATACCCATTATTATCGTTATAGAATGTACTAAATAATTAATTGATAAATTAATAATTTAATAAGATTATTAATTATAATAATAATAATTATTAATAAATATTAATTAAAAAATAAATAATCAATTATATATTTATTATTGAGTAATTTTTTATATTAATTTTAAGGCATTGTAAAAATTATAATTCGTTACAATTAAAATTGTTTCAATTGAATCAAAGAAATCGTCTTTTTCATTCACGGATCTCTCTGACTATATACATTTGACTCTTAAAATGAAAGTGAAGATTTATCATCTCCCGAGTGAACTTATTTATCCTTGATCCTGAAGACTTGTATACAGTTCTTTGTAGTAAGAATCACTTTCACAATGAACAAAAAAAAAAAAAAAAAAACAGTGAAGCAAATAGTGAACCTGAAAAACTTCTGCAACAATTTATTGATCATCATTATAATCATGATCATCAAAAGTAATACTCTCTCTAAAATGGAACATAAAATTAACAGTAGAAAAATTATGATTATATTGATATATACACAAAGAATGTTTGAAAATGTAGGACAAGAAAAAAAAATTTTTAAACAAAAGAATAAAAGATAATTATAATATTCTTTGCGATGATGACTCACTGTGACAAAAAAGGAAGTAAATCGCGCGCAAATTTTTATGTCATTAACAAAACATTAAAAAGTCAAAAAAAAGAAGAAAATCTTTGCTTTAGACTGTTTATTTATTCTGCTCTCACGTTCACAT